GGTGGTGAGGAAGGGTGAAGTTTTTTGGTGTGGAGAGGTGGATGGAATGGTGGTTTCAGGTGATTAGGTGGCCGACGAGGGGTAGGTGTGGCTGAAGGTTTCATTGCTTCTTTTAACTCCCTTAGTTGTTCTGCACACATTTTGTATGTGACGGGATTTCTTTCACATTATATATGTAGACTTTTATTATTATATATGGAGTAATATTACAAGTCAATTAAGTTTTTCTTTGTTTTTTCTTCTTTTTTGCATCATTTTTTGTTTTTGATTGATTTTCTTGTTTCAATCAAGCAATTTGTTGGCTTTAGAGACACATCATTTCGATATAGAGTACTAGGAGTCTCAAGATGTTGCATTTATTCATCAATTTAAGGAAGCAAAGATTGAGATGAATCAATGGGGATTTGAAGTTAGACTATAAAATATTTGATCAAGCATGCAAAAGAACTAGATAAGATATCTGGCTGTCACTTTCCCAAAGTATATCAATATTACTAGATCAAGGTCAATTCGCAAGAAGTTATCAAAATGTATGAGAATTTTCCTGATGCAACATTTGATTTTGTGGGTGGACTCTCCATGATTGACGGAATTGGTTGACAAGTAACGGTCATGTACTCATGTTGATTTATTTCTTTGGGCCTATGGGCTGTTCAAAAGTTTGGGCTGTATCTTGGTTAGCATTGGGCTAACTTACTGGGCTGTAACCTTTTCTCTATATTTATATAAGTTGAATTTTATCCTTCAAAAAAAAAAAAAAAAAAAAAAAGAAAAGACACTACTTGATTTTGTGTTGAAATGAAGCTGTTAGAAAATTACTTTTACGTCTATAATATTTGTATTTCCGTGAAGTTAAAATTTCAAAGTATTAAGAAAAATGCTCAACGAAATTGGACCATGTTATTGACACCTGATATAACAAATGTTAGCTCATGTCATTTTTCATCATGCTACAACGTTGGTCTAATATATTATTACCATTATGTTTTCAATGGCTTTTATTTATTTTAGGTTTATTTTATTTATTTTATTATTATTATTTTTATGAGTAATTCTGTTGGAGGGGGTCATACTAATGTGCACAAGAAAAACTAAGAAGAAATTATCGGAAATTAAATTTCTGACTACATAGATGAGTGTTACCGACCAAGGATTTTGGCAAAGATGTAAATTATACGCGTTAGCTGGCAAAATCAATGAAACAATTTATAGGAAAATTTAAATCTCACCAAGATCGTCAAATTGATGCCAAGTTTAGATTTGCATCCCAATTGAATATTCCAGTGATTTAGAAACATAGTGAAACTTATTCTTTATATTAGCTTTCACACTTCATAACTCTGAACATATATATGCAAATTAAAGTTATTGAACTTTTATGTTTTGGTGATCGCTATGTCAAATCCAAAAATACCAACCGACCGATCAAAACATACCAACTACTAAAAAATTACCCCATCACAAGGGCGTTTGTCCGAGCCTCCATTTAAAGTCATAATCATGCGTGTCCAAGAGGTTCAAATGGAGTCTACATCAACTCAAAACTATGTAATGGCATGGACAAGTGATCCAACAAAGTGCAAACCAAGTAATGTGATCACAAAGAAATCATGGTTATAACATACATACATGGATAGAAATGGCCTACAAGGCTTCATTACATCATTTCTCAAGTATGCCACATACAACATAGAATGGCTAGGGGGATAGAAATCATATAACTCGAAAAGATGGCTATGAGTCCCTATACCGGCCATTTCTCCCTTCGAAGTACATAAAAAGTCATGACGATCGTGATACCCAGAATAATACATGACAAGTTATGCAAGTTCCAATATCCAACATATGAGTCAAGACCACATACAACATTGCACATAACACATCAAGATCATCATTGAGCATCCAAAAACTCCATCAAGGATGGGGAACTTCTCCCAAATGCAATGCATTTTCCTAAAAATGTTAACAGGGCGAACAAATATGCTCAGTAGGAAAGAATGGTATACAACTAAGATATATTCTTTGAGTCAAACGAACAGAAAAATATGGTAGGCAATGAAAAAAAGGTAATGCTCCCTGGCTTTTAATTTCACGGAACATGATAGGTATTCTCCCTAGAGCTACCATATATGCAATATCATGCTTTAATAAGAAAAATAGCTCAAGCAATCATATACAAGATGATGACATGCAGAATACCACGAGTTGTAATTACAATCGATTTAATCAACTTGGCAAGTAAAGTATGAAATCAACAACCGGGAAACTCATAACTCACACACACACCCGGTCATGTGCCGAAGCTCTGTGACATACACACACCTCTGCTGTCTAAGCCACGTGCTGTAATTTGTCATTCCCAGGCTACTAACCCGCCGATGACTTACTGATTAGCCAATATATGGGGATTTTCATCCTCGAGGAGCGTCTCATCTCTTCTTAAAAGTCCGAGTTTATCCCAAAATCACAATTACTTCCACAAAGTAGCACACATTGGTTACACGACCTTAAACACCTCAAAAGTGTACATAGGTGAGTATTAAAATCACACAATCCATGCCCTAATATTCAAACTACTAACGTGGCATGCTTTCCAATGCAATAGGTATCAATTCTAACATCATTATGAATTTAAATATAACATGAGTATCACCTTGGCATTTTATCAAACACTTGGTATAAACACATTTAACTAGCTTATCTACTTATGCTTCCAAATATTTAAAATCATCAAGACTCTCATTCCTAGTGATAGAATCATTAGCCATACACATAGTTAACAAAGAACATCACATGGCAAATGATAAACATAAACATACACATAAACCATGTCTACTACATATAGTCATGCTTGAAATCATATACCACATTCTAATATAGTATAGTATCACAAGTATAATATAGTATACTTAAGCTAACACAATATACCACATGCTAGAAATCATTTGAAGACATGGAATGTACATAGTATCACAAGTATATATAATATAGTATCACAAGTATAATATAGTATACTTAAGCTAACACAATATAACTCACACTAGCATGCTTCACACACTCTTCTGCTCATAAAAACACAAGGAATCATAGATTAAGAGTATTACACACCCCTACCTCAAGTATAAGCAAAAGCAAGTAAAACCACCAAATGAAAAGTGCACCAAATGAAGAACCCGTAGAAATGATTCCCTTGTCGTGCTCTACTACTTCTCCAACTATGGCTTCCTCCAAATCACAAGTGAAGGGGATGAAAAGGGGCCTTGAAAATATGGATCTAGAAATGAAATGAAAAGGGAAAAGGAAGAGGGGTCTGCCGGCTGAAAAGGAGAGCAGAAATCTGCTCGTCCTACAAGTGAAGGGGATGAAAAGGGGCCTTGAAAATATGGATCTAGAAATGAAATGAAAAGGGAAAAGGAAGAGGGATCTGCCGGCTGAAAAGGAGAGCAGAAATCTGCTCGTCCCCCTTCATCTCTTATATACTAGCTACTTTATATCCAAAAGACAAGTATGCCCCTCACCTCGATATATCCTTAACTACATGAATGTCATGAAACATAAGTATCTACATATCCATGTACACATATGTCCCACATGAATTCCTCAAAGAACCTATCCTTCCACGACAAAACATAAAGATGTTTGTGAAGGAAAAAATTGGAGTTTTATTTTGGGTTTATTACCGTTATGGGATGACTTATGTTTGTACGGTGTTTCTGCCCTTTTTGAGGCCCTTTATACATTCTTTTCAATCTATACATTCTTTTAACCAAAAAAGAAAAATGCGGGAAAAAGGAAAAGGAAAGGAAAAATTACATATAAATGGAGTTAAAGTTTCATATTTACTTAGAGACTGAGTCAAAGTTCCATATTTCTTTAAAATGGATTGCTGAGGTGGCACATGATTTTTTACTGTTTAGAAAATTGTGGTGCCTAAAATGCCCTTCCCTAACAAAAAAGTAATACCTTCAATTCAAAAAAGTAGTACATTCAGTTCAAAAAAATAGTACTTTCGAAGAAAAAGTAGTACCTTCGCGAGTGTTTAAAAAACATGGTACCTGAACACCAAAAAGTAGTACCTTCAGTTCAAAAAAGTAGTACCTTCGAAGAAAAAGTAGTACCTTCGCGGAAGGGTATTTTAGGCACCACAATTTCTAAACAGTAAAAAACTATGTGCCACCTCAGCAATCCATTTTAGAGAAATATGAAACTTTGACTCAGCCTCTAAGTAAATATGGAACTTTGACTCCATTTTTATGTAATTTTCCCAAAAGGAAACACATTCCTCACAAATTAGCCTCTTCTAGTTCTCCCATGTTATTTATTTTTATTTATTTATTTATTTATTTTTTTAAGTCAAATGAAATAAATTTTACTAAATAAATAGAGAATCTAAAGATGACAGTGCCATCACCATTCATGATCAGGAGGGTGTGGTGTAGGCCTGATGAAAGAAGAGCCTAGTTGCCAATCGACTGCCCAGATATCTCAATTCCAGCTGGAGTTAGAAACTGAAGTAGAAAGCACTTTGTTGCGAATGGAATTGATAAATTAATGAGAATAGAGAATGTATGAACATGGAGCTTGGCTAATCAAGCTAGCCTCATCCCCCAACAACAAAGAGAGGTGATGAAAAGTGATACACTTTTCTAGAATCAAAAGGAATCTTGGAAAAATATTTGCAACAATCTAAAATATATAGATTTTTTTTTTAGATATTGTCATGTTATAAAAATTGTCGGGAAGATATTGAAAATGAAAAAAAAAAACAAAAAAAACAAAAAAAAAAAAATTGTAACTTACAAAAAGAAATAGAGAAAGTAAGAAGATGGAAGTGGAATATAAATATCCCTAAGTGGTGATCGTGGAAGCCCTAGCTAAGCCTTTCAACTACCAAATGGAGAACAAGTGCTCCAATCAATAAAAGAAAGATTGTTCCTTCATTCATTCTCCACTTCATCCATTCTCTACAACTGTACACCTTCTCCAAATTATCCTACTATCTAAACACTGTTGACATTTGACGACTAAAAGCACACCATATAGGACCAAGGTATACAAACACATGAATGCCCGTGTTAGACATGTATAAATCATTCATTTTTGGGAATTGATGAACATTTAATTACACACACTCATATATATATATAGATACACTGGGTAAGATGATGGACATACTAACTGATAAGCAAGGAGCTTGTACTCTTCAGTCTCTTCCTCCAGCATTATCTCCTGAACAGTTTTCATCCCAAACAATGTAACTGAATATATAGCCTATGTATCTGGTGTGTGTCTACAACCAGTTACAAGTTTTTGGCACTTATTTTGAGGAGAAATATTTAACCAGCACTTAATGAGATTCAATCAATTCACATAAGACAATACTTAAGTCTCAGTGGTGAGGGTCAACAATATCCTCACCTTTTATGTGGCCCAAAAAAAATAAAACATGTCATCTTTTGTTAAAAAGGTTACAAAAATAAAGAAAGAGAAAATAAACCGAATTTTACCCAGATGAAATCGGGTAAAGAGGGTTCAATTGTCTTCTTCTTCTTCTTTTTTTTTTTTTTTTTTTCAACATATGGTTCTCTCTCTTTCGGGCACCAGGCTTCTCTTTTCATCATTTTTTTCCTCTTAAGTTTCTAGTCTTGGACATCATCATTCAATTGCCAGGAATATTTGAAGGAGGTACGATCTATTTTTATTTTATTTTTTTTATACATTTAGGATTCTTTTTCTAGAAAAGAGAGAAAAGAGTTTTCGATAAACGATTAAAGTGGCAAGCTGATCATTGGCCTCTCTGTTCAGTTTCTTTACAAATTCCATTCATTCTAACACATAATGAGATGGTGGAGAGAGAGAGCACTGAAGGCTGGTGCTAGAAAGAGAGAGAACCACACGTTGAACTCTAAAGTAATTGAAAAAAAAAAAAAAAAAAAACAACCATGAACTCTCTTTACCCGATTTCATTTGGGTAGGATCCAATTTATTTTCTCTTTCTTTATTTTATTGACCTGTTTAACGACGTGTTTTATTTATATTCAACCCAGTAAGGATTTAAATATTGTCCTTAGCATAAAAGCTAAATCAAAAATAAAAAATAAAAAAATAAAACATAAAAGCTATATAGGCATATAAGATCACCCAAGGTATGAATTGTTTGATCTGTACATACATTTTTATTCCTCATTCTGACGATTTCCACCTGTCATAAAAAGAAAAAGATAAGAAAGACGATCAAATACTGTTATTGGGAATTATTGTACATGATCGTGTGTGATTTACTAGATAGATAAACTACTCTAGCTACAGCATGAAACTTACCTGTTTTTCCCAATTACTCATAAGACCATTTTCGAGTGCTTCCTCTATAGCCTTCAGCTCTTTGTAGGGCAAAGATGTGATATCATCCCCCTTCAGGTGCCTGAAACATATATGCATGCTTAGATTTAAGAAATATAATATGGATACATACATATATATTTATATTCAAAGAATATGTGCTATTTTAAACTTTCAATATTATATATATATATGCTATTTTACCTGAGTTCAATCTGCATGCTGTCATTCTCCTTCTTGATTCTATCAATTTCATTGCTCAGATTCTGTAATATATATATATATATATATATATATATATGTTTGTTAATTATATATTGTTCAAACACCCAATATTTAGTTTATGATAAATACATTTGCTTAACATTCCCAAAAAAGAAAGAAAATAACATATATTTTATCCCCAAAAAAAAAAGCTAGCATATAAAAAGATCATACAGACCGAAGAAGAGGGAGGCTATATACATGCTTGTTTATGCCCTTTTGAAAAGATACGACTAAGAAGCAAGTAAAGAAACTAGTACAAGCTAGATCTATTCAAGGAAACACATTTACACTTTTATGTGCTTATAAATGTTCCAAAAATGAGAACCCTTATATTTATGGAGTATATATATTTTTTGCAAGGAAAGGGAAGAGAGAGAACAACATTTCATTTCCAAGCCTCAAGGATGTAAAATCTCATTTAGTTCTTTTGTGTTTACTATCATTAAAAAAATGACAGAATAATGAAGAGAAGAGAGAGAGAAAGCGATCTAGAGAGGGAGGGGATGGAGAGAACTACATCCTATTTGTAGATCTGTCCATACAATTCATGTTGGAGCTACTTGTCATATTAAAAAAACCACATCTTTTTAGGAAAAAAATTAACTGATCTGATTGAGAACAAAACATCAAAGAGAGAGAGAGAATCAAACCTACCTCATGCTTTGCATCCCACAACCTCTTCCCAGACTCTGTGTGATATCGATCCAAGATATCACCCAACCTTCATATCATGATCAAAATTAGAAAATTTAATAAATCCAAAAGACATAATTAAAATAAAAAAATCCTAGAAAAATATTTGAAAAATTAATAAAGGGTTGTGTGTGTGTATATATATATATCTAGAGAGAGAGGGGCATATATATATATACACACTTAGTTCCAGGGCTGCAGTACTCATGCATCTTGCCAGAGCTATCAAAGATAACAAGAGAGACTGTGATCTCCTTAGCCTTCTTCTTGACCTGCCTGTTGCTTGAGTTCTGTATCCTCTTTATCTTTATCTTTCCTCTCCCCATGATGATATCTCTTTCACCCACGAACCCCAACTCTATCTCTTCTTCCTTGCTTAAGCTTGCAGAAAGATATAATAGAAAGAGAGAAAGTAATAATGGAATTAAGACCATTTCCATTATAAGTTGGAAGACAATCAACTTTCCAAGAAACTCAGTAAAGAGGGTTTGTAATTGGGCTTTTGACAGCTGCTACTGTGTTTCACCTTTTTAACCCTCTTGCATCTTCTTGACCTTTGGTCTCTCTCTATATATATACATACACAAATATATATGTATATATAATTGATCATCAGCTGATTTTCATGGAGTGATTTAAGGTGGTTTTTTTTTTTTTTTGTTTCATAAAAAAAAAGACCAACTCGTGAGCAGAACTTAGGGTGCGTTTGATACGTTACATGGGATTATTGTGTATGCTGTGTGATGGACACGTGTCACTTTTTGTGACCTCGGAGTCTGTTATGATCTGTCTAATCTAGGGCTTGAGTGATGGTATATATTAATCAAAATCTTAATTAACCATCACATCAAAGGTTTTTTTCTTGGGAAGGAATGAAATAGGAGGAAAGGGTGAAGGAAAGGGTCAAAGAGGGAAATTGGGGGGGGGGGGGGGGGGGGGGGATTTATGATGTATAACCAAAAACCATAGTTAGGATGTGTTTTGCAAGGTGAAGGTACAATCGTATATACGTAATAATAACATTTAATGTGCGATTCGTTACGTGCTATAATAATATAATTTAATATTAAAAAACATGAACTGAAAAATTTAATACAAGTCCAAAATCATAATTTAGATATACAATCAATATCAAACACATGATTAAATCATTAATGCAATAGAAATGGAAATTAATTACATAACTTAATTAATTTCTTTAAGTTTTAAATCTCAATCAAATGACCTCTAATTAACACATGTTAAACAACATAACATGGTTATTGTATATACCAATTCAAAAACTTAATTAGACCATTTGAATAATAAAATGGAATTCAATTAAATCATGATAGTCAAATCCCTAATTCCTAAAATAATATCAAATGATCCTGAATTAACATATGCTAGTATGCAAGTCCTAGTTATCACCAATATCAAGTTAAAAACTTAATTAAGTCAATGAAAATTTTAAAATAGACTTTAATTAATCCTTTTAATTAAAATCTCTAGATTTTCATACTCATCCAAATGCTTTCAAATAAAAGTATGTTAAAAAACATGCCGAGACTTAATTTAAAAGTATATCACAAGTTAATTTTATTCAAAGTACACCCATGAGAATTAAACTTTCACAAAAGATAATTATTAAATAAAAAGTGTAATTCTTATTCAAATAATTTCAATTTAATATATGTTAACAAACATATCAAAGCATAATTTATCATCATGCCACAATTCAATTCTAAGCTATATACATCATTGTAAATTAAATCTTACGCAAATAAATAAATATTACCAATTTTCTAGATTTGATACAAGGCATGCAAACAAGTTGTATAATCATGAAAAACACTTAATACAACACATATATAATCCTAAAATAGCCCCTACCTCCATTTGAGATGAAATCTCAAATCCCCACCAAAATGAAACTGCTTCGAATTTGACGAAACTTCTAGGTTTTGTCGGGGACAACACGGTGAACAAGAACCCCAAGGAAGTCCCATCAAAATCACAACTTGACTTCAAACCCGAACTCAAGAAATCGCCAAGACGAAATTCCAATCGGTGGAATCGAAGGCCTCGCCAAGGCGAATAGAAAACACTAAGGCACTACAGTGTTTCACTAAGGAGAAGAAGCTCAAAAGAGGAGAGAGAAGGTAACAGCCCTTGGTTGCCATGGAATCCGGCCAAGAGAGGGGAGAGAGAGAGTGAAATATGATTTTTTCATTCTAAGACCTCCTATTTATAGAAAATCTCAAAAAGTGCCTTGAACGGGCCCTACTGGGTCCGGAAAAGTGGAATTCTCGCAAACGCGCTCAAACGGAAAAACTCCGTGAATGAAAAAGAAGCAAAATGAAAAAATATGAACAACGAAAGAAACAGCGTAAAAAACCGAATCCCGAGTAGAGAGATATGTCCCAAACAAGTTCGGTGGCAACTAGTGCCAAAAACCCTGAAACTGGAGAAAAACAAACAGAAGGAAATTATAAGAGTACGTGACTCGAAGAAAAGTAAAAATGAATCCTGTATAAGGATCCAGGCTCAAAACAAGGCATTTAGCAATAACTTTTATTAATTGCACAATGGCCCCTCCAAAAAGTGAAAACTACACAACTGGGTCAGAATGAAAATATCTTCCAAAAATATTTTCTTAGAAACCCCTAAAATAAAATATCTTCAAAAGATATTTATGAAAAACACCCCAAGAAAAGAAAATGTTTCTGAAGAATTATGCATCCATGCCTCTATGGACACTGAGAGCAACCAAAGTATATTACTGCAAAAGTAAAGATACGCATTTCGTTGAAACCACTAAGAATGAAGGTACGTGAAGTCAGAAACCAACTCCGAACACAAAAAGTGTGGTTATGCTAACAAAGTGACAAACGGGAAAAAGACGAAATAGGGAAAAGGTCGAAAAATAAATAATGTCCGAAAAATGAAAATGTGGAAATGACACGGTCCTCAAAGGAAGTTGTCAATCTAAGGAAAAGAGTCTCAGAATTCATCCCAGAGCACTCGAGACGACACTAAATGACGAGAAACTGAACTCAGAAAAGAAAAGATCAACGGAAAAAAATATCCGTGAAAATCTGAGAAAAAGGAAAGGAAGGAAAATGACAGGGTCATTACAACACTGATCTAAACTCCAACAATCAATTCAACTAAAATTCCCAACCACAAACAATGAAGCAGAATATGAGGCACTGTTGGCAGGGCTCAGGCTGGCCAAGGAACTCCAGGTAAAATACCTTCGTACTCATAGTGATTTACAACTCATTACTAGGTGATAGGAGAATATATCCCCATAGAAGAAAGAATGTGTGCATATCGAGAAGAAGTTGAAAAACTAGTAAAGTATTTTGACACGATTGAATTCCGGCAAATCCCAAGGGAAGAAAACCCAATCGCCGACCGCCTGGGCTGCGCGGCATCTATAGCAGACGAATCATTGACTAGAGTCATTCCCATTGATGTCTTGGATACACCAAGTATCATAAGAGAGGTACAGGTACTAGTTATTCCATGGGAGCCAAGCTGGATAGATCCTATACTAGCTTACCTTGAAAGAGGAGAACTCCCCAATTCCAAAGAAGCAGCGTGGCAGCTAAGAATAAAAACTGCCAAATACTCAGTTGTAGGAGGACAACTTTTCAGGTGATGGCATTCTGGGCCTACCTCAAATGCCTGACTCCCACATAGTCCAGAGAAGTTTTAAATCAGTTGCACGAAGGGGAATGTGGGAATCACTCTAGAGGTAGATCACTAGCTCACAAAGCTCTAACTTAAGGCTACTGTTGGCTGATGAGCACTGAATATATACATATTCGAGCCCCTAAATATACGTATGCTAAGGTCTAAAGTGATACTTCTATCCATAGTTAGACTGATTTATGTTTAATGTGTGTTTACAGTTACTTTCACGGAGAAATGTTTAAAACCGGGACTTTATGACGATATCAAAGCTTACAAAATCGTTGCCGGTCATTCAGAGCAAGTCGAGAGCTTAAATGGTGAAGTTTAAAGAAATTCAAGCCCCAGAGCTCGAGCCCAAGTGCTGAGGCTCGAGCATTATAACAAAGAAAAGAAGAAAAGTCAACAAGGCATTGAAGCTCGAGCCTTGTACCTTATTGCTCGAGCACCAACTTAGGGTGCTCGAGCCTTACCTAATGGTGCTCAAGCTTTGACCCTTAAGCTCGAGCATGAGGCGTCGGAAGTTGAAGATTTGATTTTAATTAAAAGGTTATGCTCCCAGGTTTCGTGCCTCACTTTCAGGATCGAGCACTATTCATTGAAGCTCGAGCCTAGAGTCCCAAATGCTCGACCCTAGTACCTAGTGCTCGAGCCCATGAAGTTTGGATCGAGCAATGTTAAAAGCGATGAATACCAAAAATATTCTGTAATGACCCAGTCATTTTCTTCCTTTTCCCTTTTTCCTCAAATTTTGCGGATAAATTTTTTCCGTTGTCTTTTCTTTTTTGTGGATGGTTTTTCATCGCTTAGTGTCATCTTGAGTGCTCAGAATTGGTTTATGAGACTCTTTCATGTGAATTGACAACTTCCTTTAATGACCGAGTCATTTTCACATTTTTCGTTTTTGGACACTATGCGCTATTTCGTCTTTTCCCTATTCTGTCATTTTCCCTATTTCGTCTTATCTCCGTTTGTCAGTTTTTGGCATAACCTCGCTTCTTGTGCTCGGAGTTGGTTTTTAATTTCACGTATCCTTATCGTGAGTGGTTTTCAAGAAATACGTATCTTTACTTTTGCAAGAAAATACTCTGGTTGCTCCCGGTGACCATAAGGGCACGGATGCATAAATCTTTGGAATTAATTTCATTTCTTGGGGTGTTTTTCATAAATATATTTTAAAGATATTTTATTTCAGGGGCATCTAAGAAAATATCTTTTGGAAGATATTTTCATTCTGGGGCAGTTTCGCAGTTAACCCTTTTTGTAGGGGCCATTGTGCAATTAACGAAAGTTATTGCAAAATGTCTCGTCTGGAGCCTGGATCCTCGTACGAGATTCATTTTCACTTTTTGTTGACTTGTAAATTCATAGAATTCCGTTCTGGTCATTTTTCTCCAGTTTCAGAGTTTCTGGACCCGGTTGCCGCCGAACTTGTTCGGGGCATAACTTTCTACTCAGGACTCGGTTTTCGACGTTGTTTCTTCCGTTATTCATATTTTCTCATTTTGAATCTTTTTTGTTCACGAAGTTTTGCCGTTTGAGAGCGTTTGCTTAAAATCCACTTTTCCGGACCCGGCGGGGCCCTTTCGAGGCACTTTTTGTGATTTACTATAAATAGATGCCTTAAAGAAGAAAAATCAGATTTTCTTCTTCTTTCTCCTCTCCTTGCACGACCAAAGGCAGCCATGGATGCCCATG